CTCTCTCTAAAAAAAAAAAGAAAGAACATACAACTGACTACCCAAAGTATCATATCTAGAAAATACAAGAATAAAAATGTTACTGAGAGTATATGAATATTTTCACATTCCAAAAAAAAAAAAGCAGCATTATATATCTACACAGGACTAGCATTAGAACAATTCTGAAATTCAAACTTTGAATCAATATGTTATAGACGCTAAACTCAACTTGCTTCAGTAAGGCATCACGTGTAGCAAAATGTCCCCCTAGGTTATTAGATCTAATCCCAACTCAGCAAGTATCAACTGTGTGATTATTTTAGAAAGTTACTTAAATTCTCTGAACTTTGGCTTCTTCATATGTACAATGAAATTAATAATACCTGCCTTGGAGGGTTATTGTAAAAAATGAAATAAGATCGAGTGTGGGAAAGAATTTAGCTTCTGTGCCTGTCACTTACTGGACTCCCTATCATGTTCCCTCCCTCAGTTCTTTTCTGTTCTTAAAATCAAGCAGTTAGAGAAAACGGTAATGATAACAACATTTTCAAACAGAGTACAGATTCAGTGAAAACCGAATATGCAGGTCATATTGATTTACTGCCTTTTTCTGACAACAGTAATGGAATATAGCGTATTCATCCATAAGGGAGTTGGCAGTTTACAAAAGACTTAAACATTTGCTCTGCCCATTCCTCACAACTGCTCTGTGGTATAGGAGTTCAACAGAGAGGAGCTGAAGCTCAGGAATCTTAAGTGTTTTGCTCCCAAACAAGCCATGAGAACTAGAAATTTACTTATGTCTTCTGGCCCAAGTATCTATTAGATCCCAGCAGCCTACTTTTCTGCTTCTCAAAGCTCTCTATGAGGCCAAAACGTGAGCACGTAGGGAGGGATGTAAACAACCACCTGTTTACTGTAGAAGATGTCAAACCCAGGAGTCTTTCAGGACCCACTGTACTGACAGTAGCCCTGCCCTCATGCAGGCGCAGTATGAGTACTATTACCTCCACAGTTGAAGTGATGCCCTCTCCACTATCTACACTCTAAGTGATCTGGCTACTTTTGTAGTTATAGTTAAGAAATCCAACATATATCAAGGAAGCTTTTAAGAAGGCTATGGGTGAGGTTAATGGAACACACTTTAGTTCTTATCTTTCCATTAGTAAAATCTATAAAGCTGAAAAGACGGATTCTGAGACAAGAGGAATTTCCTTGGAATGTTATAACAAATAAACCCACCAACCTGTATATTTCTCTGCTAACACAGATGAGGGACTTGAAAGAATTACGTGGCTTCCAGTCACCCTGAGCTGGCAAACAAACAGAACTGACAAAATTACTGTCATCTTTGCTGTCACATAAAAGCTGCGCTCAGGGTTTCTCAGTGTTTTGTTTTTTTTTTCAGTTTAGCTCCTTTTTTTTTTTTTTTTTTCATTGCACTGCTCTTGACAAAGAACAGACTTTTAAATATGGCCCAGATGGTGATAGATGGACATAATATTTCTTTGTCCTTAAGCAAGACAGCATAATTGCACATCATACATAGTAGTCAGTGGTCATTTTTGATATTTATTTAAATGACATCTATGTTGAAGATTTAAATTTATAAAGAGCAATGAGATTCCAGGAAAGAGAATAAATGCCACTTCTACTCTCAAATGCTGTAAAACAGATGCCCATCCCATTACAGACTTAAGCATTAAAACATTTAAGATTTTTATAATTGTGGAAGCCTTCAGAAGCCTTCAGAAGGAACCCTCTCTCTCCCTCTCTCTCTCTCTCTCTCTCTCACACACACACACACACACACACACAATTATTTTACATTAAAAGATCATGAAGTTAATTTCAGAGGTCAAGATTAAATTTTGTTTTTATACCTAGGCTATAACCTTAGGACTCAGCTTGTTAACTAAGCAATTAAATAATGATGGGGAAACACAGTAGCACTCTTAAGTGGAAAAAAAATAATAGTAACTACAATGATAATCATTACTTTGAAATATCTTCAAACACTTTGCAGAGTGATCTAATTATTCCCCTGCACATCCCTCATGGGAAAGGTGTTATTATTTCCATCTTGAAGACAAATATAATATCTACTCTCAAAGTGTCATTTCTTCCAAGAAAATTATTTTTTTTCTTGTTCATCTTCAAATATGATACTTAGACACCTGAAATTAAGTAATTTTGTAGAATATGAGGCAGAATAGTCTGTGTTTCCATAAATGATTGATTGGAATTCAGTGTTTTCCAAACTGTTTTAATAACATATCCAAAAATATAGAAATTTTAAAAGATCAGATACAAAATAATGATAAACAGGAAGTTTGATGCTTTTTCTGAGATTTCTTGGGTATGTACACCACCCTTCTGAATGGGGAAAGGGAAAAAAGAGGATGCAGAAAAAGAATGAGCATGTTTCTCTTTTTCTTCCCTCCTTCAAGTAAGCTCTGAAAATTGCAGCTCTTATACCCATGAACTGAAATATAGGATAAAAGGGAAGTGGGAAGAAAAGCGAAAGAAAGGGAAACGAAGAAATGTACAAGGAAACAAAAGAGTGAGCAATAGAAACACTAAATGTATGTTCCTATATTTAAATGCTATAGGATGCTTCTGAAGAGCTTCTGGGATAGTTTGGCAAGGTTGCCATGATAACATATCACAGACTGGGTGGCCTAAACAACAGAAATGTTCTATTGTTTTCTCCTCATTCAGGAGACTGGAAGTCCAAGGTCAAGATCTTGACAGCTTGTTTGTCTGAGGCCTCCCTCCTTGGCTTGCAAATGTCTATCATCTCATGGGGTCCTCACATGGTCTTTCCGATGTAGTAGTACCTCTGTTTGTGTCCAGATGTCTTCGAGTTACAAAGACACCAGTCAGATTGGATTAGGGCCTACCCTAATATCTTCCCTATTAACTTTATTGTCTCTTTAAAGGCCCTGTCTCCAATTAAAGTCATAGTCTAAGGTACTGGATATTAGGACTTGAACATATGAGTTTTGGAGAGAAACCATGAAGAACGTAAGGGTGTCTTTATTACAAACTGTCTTCTGCTTTGGGGAAAGACTGATCTTAGAAATATGTAATAATCATACACCTTGAGCTATGGGTTAAATGGTCAACATTGCACTATTACTCACAGCATTCCAATCAGCCGACCTATCTCGTTTACCACATACATAGTCTCCAAAGGTGATCCCACTAATCTAGGGGCTCTCAGTAGTTTATTGGAGACTCTCCAAAACCTCAAGGATAAGGCTGCTTTTTCCTTAGATCCCCAAAGCCTATTTACGTAATAATCCTCACCATGTGCTCTGGAAGAGCAGACCATTACCATTTTCTCTTCCAGTAAGAAGAGAAATAACAAATACAGACATGCCTCTTAGTATGTTTCATGAGAGGCACGTCTGCTCTCAAGTCACTTGTGTTTTCAGAGAGTTTTTCCCACCAGGATTGGTACCAGAAAGTCTCACAGAGTGTCTTATGATGAGCATGTCCATGTACTCCAGGCTCGTGATCTCAGACCACATAGTCACTGAAAAGTGACACCCCCCCATCCCCCACCGCCAGCTGCACGAGTTGGATAAAGTAAAGTAGATCCCTTCTAACAAGGTTCAAGGAGGTAAACAAAATCTTCAAGACATCCTTTACAAAATGACCACAAAAACCTATGAATATATTTTTGCTATATTTCCAGAAAAGTTGACATTCAATATTCCTAATTTTAAAACATGTGAATGGAGGTTATGTTCACATTACAAATTAAATTCCTGTTTTAGAATACTCTTATTGATTTCCTGGCTCCTTTAAATAGTAAGCTTTGTGCATTTATGGTATGACTTAATTGACAAAATTGTAATATATACATATTTGTGTGTACACATGCACATACAATATAATGTAATTGTGTAGATATATAAAGTCAGTAGAAATTTGTGGATTTATTTCTTTATTTCCAAATTACTTAAGTCACCTTATTCCACATGTTGGAAATGGTACTAATACTCAGGACACAAAAATGAATGGATTCCTGCTCATGAAGACCTCCTAATCAAACAGAGCAGAGAAGCCAGTGAATAGGTACAGTTCAGACCACTATTTCTCAAACTCAGAGCAGATATCAGGAGAGCTGCTCAAGCCCAGAATGCTGCCCCCCAACCCCAAGTTTCTGATTCAGTGGAGCTGAACATTCGCATTTCTAAAGTTCCATCTTACTAGTGATCAGCTAAAACCACTGGTCTAGATTTACATGTCAGGGGGCTATGGAAGCTCTTGGGAAGAGTTTCCAGCACTGATTATGAATAGGGGTCAGAGAGAGCTTCACAAAGGAAGTGAATTTCAAAGAACAAATAGGGAAGGATAAGGATGGAGGGATTGGGACATGCTGAGTACATTTAGTCCTAAAAGACAAAAGTAGAAGAAAGTGCATATGGTTTGAAAAATATGCAAATAGTTTCATTTGGCTAGGACAAAGTTTGAGTTTGAAATAGTTGCAGGAAATGAAGCTAGAGGAATATGCAAGGCCCTGATTAAAGGCCTTGTTTGAACATCATCTTGTAGGCAGTTATATAACCATTAAATCCCCAGAGTTGGACTACGGGCTGGAAGAACCTTGGTAGAATTCTGTCCATGGTTACCTTTCTTCCAAAGAGGTTTTTTTCTCAGCCTGGCACAGGACTTTCCAACATTTTAGAAGAAATCCTTTGCATTTCACTGAAGCAACAAATTTCACTGGAGGTGATCTGGGAGTAGAAAAGGTGTGTCAGCTACCTGTAAACAGAACCAGGTGGTGGTTACATTTTTGCCATTGACCAAGGAGCCCACAGTAAGAAGGCATTTCAATCCAAGTACCTTGATAATTAATTAATTATGATTGACTCTAAGCTTCAATCACCTTTGTTGGCCTCCTGTCATCAGAGCAAAGTGTTGACAGACCTAGAAAGAAGAGATTGGGAGAAAGGAAACTCTGATAGCCTGGTTGTGATGTATGTGCTTCATTTCTTTCTCTCTAGGAGAAGATGATGATGACGATGAATGTGGAGAAGAGAAGCTGCCCTCCTGTTTCGATTATGTGATGCATTTCCTGACGGTGTTCTGGAAAGTCCTCTTTGCCTTCGTCCCTCCTACAGAATACTGGAATGGCTGGGCATGCTTCATTGTCTCCATCCTCATGATTGGCTTACTGACAGCTTTCATTGGAGACCTGGCTTCCCATTTTGGCTGCACCATTGGTCTGAAAGATTCTGTGACTGCAGTTGTGTTCGTCGCACTTGGAACTTCAGTGCCAGGTAGAGAAGATATTCATATATTATTCTTCCCAAACCAGAAGTTCATGTGCCTTCTGACTCTTCTTCTCCTGCTCCTTCAAGGGCTGTGATAACAAACAGCCTTTGAGGGATAAGAACCCAGAGATATAAATGATGTCACTATCAGAACATTACCGTAGCACTTCTCAGGGTTAGAAAGTTGGCCGGTATCATCATGATGACAGGGAAGCATCCCCAGAGGGTCTCAGTGGCCTGGCCTGCCTGGAAAGAGCAGATTGGTTTGATGAATAGATTTTCAAATCAGCTTCCCATTACAATGAATACTTTCAAAAATACACAACAAAACAAAACTACAGGATCATTTTCAAAAACAAAACATCTGTCTTTTATATTTGGTAAGATTTTGGCGATTTCTATGACTATCTGTACTCCTCTGGTTTACGGAGTATCTGAAAAAATATTTTCTTGACCCAAATATTTTTGGTAATAAATAGAAAATAGGCATTGATCAGAACAGAAAAGTAATCCTGACAAAAATGAGCAGGCCAAGTATACACTTTGGTACATCCTGTCATGCATTTCTTAAAAGTTGAATTTTTTTCCAAGCTACAGTATTTTAGTCTATTGTGTTTACTTAGATTTCCAATAAAACATCATCTTCCCAATTACCTGAGAGCTTGTTAAAATTGCAAATGTGTATCTAGCCATGATGATTCAAGGGTAATGCATCACTCTGCAATGCTGAGGCTGCATGAGAAGGTCCTGTGCTCATATCCTGAGGCTTCCCTGTACACACCAGGCATATGCACGTGTCCTTGATTCTGTGTGATTGACGCTGAGGATGGATTGTGGCATGAAGACCCTGTTGTGAGTCCCCATCTTTCTTTCTCTCTCTCTCTCTCTCTAAAGAAAGAAATGAACAAAAACTTCTTAAAAATGCAAATACCAAGTCAGTTGGTGGTGTGGTGGTTAAGGTAGCTGGAACTTACAGGGCCAATTTGAGTCCTGGACTTGGCAACTTGAAAAACACTCTGGGCATGTGTGCATATTTGCCCAAAATCTCTATTAGAGAATGGAGGAGAAAGGATTGCAGAGTGGCCATACCCTACCCCTCCTGGAGTGGGGAGTGGTTTCTCTCTCTCTTTCTCTCTCTCGCTCTCTGTCTCTCTCATGAGCACACACACCCTGTAGCAAAAAATGAAAGAAAAAAAAGTAAGACAAATGACGGAGACTCGCTGCCAGTCTATTCAAGATCCAGGGGAAGAACCCAGAAATGTGTGTTTTAAGCTCAGAGATGACTTGGGTTCATATCAAAGTCTATTATCATAACTGAAATTATAATCTAGACTAGATGGTATCTTGACAAATGTACAATTTTAACTTTAAGCAATAAGATTTGCATCATTTACCAAGTAGCTGACCAGAAACGAGCATTACAGTGGGAATAACCAAAAGCAAACCCTTCTTGATGGTGCCATTCACTGTCCACACTCCATATTTACCAGTCTTGATGTAGAAACTAAGATTTCTACTAAAATTTGTCAGAGTTGGCAATCCTGGCTTTTGGGTTGAGTCTAAAAACAAGTACAGTCTAGTGTATTTCTCCCATTGGAATTTGTCAGTCGTTGTTCTTCACACAAATACTTATCTTCTCAATGACTTTGAATTACTTGAGCCTCAATTTATTCATTCATAAAACAGAGATAATCACACTGAACATGCAGAAATATGGTAGCAATTGGAGAAAATACCTATAAGTTGTCCATCTACTGAAGCATCTAGGACATAGAAGGAATTTAGTAAAATAATAACTCATCATTATTATTCATGTTGAATAATTTAAGTTAATTTGACAATATACCACTATAAATCTAGGCATTTCATCCATGGTTACCCTGATCAACCCAGAATAACCATGGATAAAGCGCCTAAATTTATGCTGGTCAGGGGGCTGGAGGTTGAGCTGCTGGACTCCCACATGGCCAACCACAGTTCAAGCCCCAGATCTGGTGGCTTGCTTTCTCACTTTCCCTCTTTCTCTCTCTTTCTGTGTCTCTCTCTTGTAAGGGTACATGCCCTATAGCAAACTTAAAATAATAATAATAATAAAAAATTTGGGGAACCAGCAGGTGGCATGGTGCTTAAGGCACTGGACATTCCCACATGGCTGACCAAGGTTTGAGTCTTAAATCTGGTAGCTTGCTTTCTCACTTTCTCTCTCTCTCACTCTCACCCTCTCTCTCTCTGGTCAAATTAAAAATAAAATAAAATAATAAAATAAAACAAAATAAAATAAATGTATGCTGGTCAGCCATATTACCCAACTGATTGTACCACTTGGAGTTTCTGATAAGAGATCCTGTGTGGTTCTGTAATCCAGCTTAACTAATGGATGTGCTGAAATAATGGATTTAGAGAGCACCCTTGTTCCCACCTTAGTGAGCAAGGCTGGTCAAACTTCCAAAAGACTCTTGTCCACAGAGGAGAACAGACTTCCTATCAACTCCAGTCATGTGCCAGTGCTTCCACATTTGGGTTTTATTTGTATTGTTTTCCCAAAAATTGTAAGAAATTTATCAGATAGTAGAAAAAAAATAAGTGTATTTATATCTTAAGTTGTTTTGTTTATAGAATCTATATGCAAACATATGAACTAAACATGGTAGGTGGTCATTGCTTTCATCTGCGGTTATCATAGGTAAATACGTTTGGGGGTATACTTTCTCTAAGGCTGAAGTCTCTCATCAAATGGAGTCCAAGTTGGCATAGACAACTGGCTAGAGTTTAAACCCCTGAGGGGAATATGTGCAAATGATGGTAGTATAGGCAACAGTAGTCTCTCTTGGCAGTTATCCAAAATTCACCTGCCTTTCTGGAAAGGCAGCAGTTCATTCTATCAAATGTATCTCTTGTTTTTGAAAGAATAAACTATTAACACATTGCTTTTCCTACATCAAATCCTGTTCTGAAAATGATTGTTTATTCAATGCCTCATTTCCAATACTCTCAAACTGAGTTCCTTTTATATGCCAATCTTCTGAAATGCCTCTATGTATCCCTTGTTTTAATAAATTCTTTTGAAAAGTGGTCCAACCACTGTGGCACAGCAGTAACACTTGCACTCTGCTATGCTGAAAGTCATATGATGACCAGAGTTCAGATCCTGGGTTGCAGTGAACAACACACCAGGCCTCAGGAGGCCATGATCCTGAGGAGTGGGAAGTCTGGCATGACTAGACACTCTCAAGGGTGCTTTCTCTCTCACGTGCATGCATGTACTTAAAAAAAAGAGATGGATGTGTGGCAGCCATATGATTAAAATCTATTTATTTTTGTTCATTTATGTTTGTAACATGAAATGTGTAATGTTTAGCAAAGCGTAATGTTTAGAGGAGTTACTTGTTCTGCCACTTAAAACTAACTCAGAACCAAAATAGAGACATTGAGAGGTAAGAAAACCTGTTTGGGAAAATAAAACAGAATCATTAGCTGTTAAAATGGTTTCCATATAATGTGATCAGTGCTTTTCCTCAGAACAGAGTTCTTAGCTTTGTTCCTGGGAGAATTCCTGTAACTTGCTGCAGTATTAACTGTGCAGCACACTCCCCAAACAGTGTATTTGCAGGTAATCTCAGAAAATCATAGCTATATAAACAGACATTTTTCTCATAAAAAGCTGTGCAAATTGACCAGAATACTGGATGAACATAATAATTCTGACTTTATTCTTTAACTCTGCTGATTCAGAGCCATGTTTTTATTATACCCCCGTATTTCTTAAAATAAATAATTTAGTAAATAGAGATGCTATTGTTTCTAGATGACAAAGCCCAATTGCTACAGGAAGAAACAGAAGAAAACACGTGCACTGCACTTATAGCCTATCATGAGTCAGCACTGGCCCTAGGGCCATCTTTTTCTCTAAGATGATGTCTTGGCAATTTTCCTAGAGTCGAAGGGTTCCTGACTAGCGTCTGATGTATTGCTGCTCTTTCTAGGTAAAACTTATATTCTTGGATTGTGGTGGCTAGGTGGACATTAACATTTTTTCCATGCTAATCTTCCTCAAGACATGATTAAATATTGACATATCTCATTTAAAGTATTTTTACTATGTTGTTCAAGTCTGTAGGAAAAGCTTATGACTTTCCAGGTAAGACAACGTCTCATACTAAATGGCACCAAACACTCATTATAATCTATCAGCAGAGAACGATTTATAAGAAGAACCTCCTTGTCCCGAATCACCATCGTACAGACCTATGTATGTAGAGGAAGAACCTTCCAAGTCGTTTTTTACCTTTCAACGTTGCAGTGGGTCAGAGCCTGGTCTTGAGCCCTATTCTCTTCCCTATTCATGCTCACTCCCTGGACATCAGTCTCCATGGCTTAAATACCATCTATACTTCCTCTGTATGCCAATGATTGTCAAGTGTCTATCTCCAGCCTCAACCTTACTCTGAGTGCTATATTCTAAACCAACTACCTTCCCTATATTGATGCTGATGTGTGACTTGCAGCTCAAAATTACCATTCCCAAAACAGAACTTTTGATTTCTACTGCCCAGTGGCTTTGTCCTTCAGCCAGACCTGTCCCTTCCAGATCTTACCTTTCTCAGACCAACAGTGTCGCCCTCTATCCAAGGCGTTCTGGATTCGTCTCCTCATCACAGTCTATTTATAAGTCCTACAGTCCTTCCTCTAAAGTATGTCTTGATCAGACCCTAGACTGTGTGAGCGTTCTCTATTACCCAGACTCCTCCACTATCCTCCTGTCTCCCTGCTTTTGATAGAGATCATTTTAAGGTGTAATTCAGACCATATCGCTATTTTTGTTTTAGTTTTACATTTAATCACTGTATATCCTTACAGAGTACATCATCACTTTTCCCAACATGGATATATCACATGTTAGTCTAATCCAAGACATTATCATACACATTCTCATCAGCAGATACCTTTTCATTTTGTGTCTGTTAAACATCTGTTTGCATGTTTTTTCACTTAGGATAAACTATAAA